TACGGAAATAGAGGACGGTAGGGCAGAGCTTATTCGCCTGTCTAATGCGGGGAGATTAAACAGTCCGAGAAGGTTATCATGAAGATACGGAGGGAATACATCGTTGCACAGAATACGGAAATAGAGGACGGTAGGGCAGAGCTTATTCGCCTGTCTAATGCGGGGAGATTAAACAGTCCGAGAAGGTTATCATGAAGATACGGAGGGAATACATCGTTGCACAGAATACGGAAATAGAGGACGGTAGGGCAGAGCTTATTCGCCTGTCTAATGCGGGGAGATTAAACAGTCCGAGAAGGTTATCATGAAGATACGGAGGGAATACATCGTTGCACAGAATACGGAAATAGAGGACGGTAGGGCAGAGCTTATTCGCCTGTCTAATGCGGGGAGATTAAACAGTCCGAGAAGGTTATCATGAAGATACGGAGGGAATACATCGTTGCACAGAATACGGAAATAGAGGACGGTAGGGCAGAGCTTATTCGCCTGTCTAATGCGGGGAGATTAAACAGTCCGAGAAGGTTATCATGAAGATACGGAGGGAATACATCGTTGCACAGAATACGGAAATAGAGGACGGTAGGGCAGAGCTTATTCGCCTGTCTAATGCGGGGAGATTAAACAGTCCGAGAAGGTTATCATGAAGATACGGAGGGAATATATCGTTGCACAGAGGGAAAAGGCAAACGTGGTGTTATCGGAAGCCTTGATTGAAAAATTTTCGGATCTCATGGAGGCTATCAATATGGTGGATAGTGGGAATGAATTAAGGGAGGAGTTGAATCAGGATAAACTGTTTAAGAGTGATGTCAAAAGTGTAGTAGCAAAGCTGTCTCCATACATACCCTACCTGGGTATTGTTAGCGGTGGAGTGACGACAGTGAAACATGTCTATCGGAGAGCACCTGAACAGTCGACTTCTGGGGAGGAAGGACCGGAGACTGATGATCAAGCATAAAAATTTTCCAAACTCTGTTGAGTATGGAAAAACTGTAATTTTCGAATAATTTAGTACTTTATTCCAGCAAGTTGTCCATTTGTGATCTTGATAACACCGTCGGAAAGGACGAACAAGTAACATACAACGTCTGCAGTTGTGGCTTTCTTTGTGATTTCCACTAATATTCCGGACTGGGTGTTTTGGATTTTAGCACCGTTTCCGTATGTATTGGCGTCGTTTGCAGTTCTAAGGTCAATAACCAGTGCAAACTTTTTATCCTTGAAGAATCCGGTTAGTGTTTGATGGCTGATTTCGTCAGTACCAAACAGTCGCCTTGCCTCCTCGTATAGCCTTGTTTTCGGGATACCCTGGCTATAGACTGCATTGGGAACACCTTCTATGGTTACTCTGACCTTTTCGATGTTGGGGTAGATATATTCCTTACTGTCTGTTTTCGTCTTGTTTGTGAATAGCATGACAATGGCTTTCATACTCCTGCGTGGTACGTTGATCGTTTCGTTGATGATGGTGGAATCTTTGCTCCATTCCGTTTTCTTCATTAGGGTAGCATGTTCGAAGGATAACTCGCGTTCGGATCCGTACAGGCCCTCGGCTTTCCTTGCGAGATCGATGTTGTCGATGGACTCGTATTCCAGTTCGATGTTCTCTAGGGTGTATCCTTCCACAGATTCCCCACCCTGTCCGTTCATGATTTCGGCCGCTGTGGGTAGGGTGATCACGTATTGTAAGTCGTTTGCCATGTTGTGTGGGGCATAAAGTCCGTGATCTTTGAGGATTTTGTTGATCCGGATTTTCTGTTTTGTTCCGAATACACCGAACAATGCGGTAGTCTCTGCATCATCGTTTGCGGCGTCGTCTTTGGATATTCTCTTTTTCGTGGCTTCGCTAGCGATACCATCCTCTACCATATCATCACGCTGCTTGTTGTGTAACCTTAGGTCTTTGTATACTTCCAGTAAGCTTTCCCCGCTGTTGTCGTAGACCTATTCTCCTGCGAGTCGAATTTCTAGTCTTTTCTGTAGTAGTTTCCCCTAGGTGGTTCCTGAAACAGGATTTTGTATTACTGTTCTTAAAGTCGAAAACTAAAGCCATACTATCCGGTACAAGAACGGAGTCGGCTTTTAGCTTTGGGATATTAACGTAAATTTCTTCTCCAGGTTTTGCAGAATTGGGATTGAAGGTTAAAACATGTCTGGTCCTATCCCCAGTGATTTCCGTCCTGTTCATGCGTCGGAAGTTAGGCATAAGTTTAGTTGTTCGGTCCATTATGTTTTTATTATAGTAGAACTTTATTTCTTCCGTCTACTTTGTAGGTATTTGTATATAGCCCCAGCAATTAGGATTGCTACGATCCATAGGTTCTGGGCAAGGAAGGCGAGACCTTTAGCTCCCCAGCTTAGGATAGTACTTAGTAAATTTAGGATAGGTACTAGGATTGGTAGTGCGGATTTTGCAAGTCCAGCCAATGCTTTTCCTACGGCTCCTAATCCTTTGGAGGTTCCTACGATGGTTTTCTTTCCTGCCACTACGACTGTAGTGATAATTCCGGCGATAGAAATGACAATGGCGGCAAGTGCGCCTAGGTTTTCCTTTGCCCATTTGCGGAATCTTTCGAATTTTGTCCTGATATTTTCTCTTACTATTTCCCTATACCTGTGTTTTCCCTCCTCCGTTTCGGGTTGCTGACCCATCTCTAGGTTGGTGTTATTTATATATACCCTGTTCGGCAACATCCATGCCCTCTTGAATAATCTGTCGTCTTTCGGGATCTGTTTCGAGTTCTATATTGGTTTCGAATACTTTCTTCTGTTCCCTTAAGGCTTTAATCCTGACTTCGGGGGGTACTTTGGGAGCGGTTACTCTCACAAATTCCCTCCTCTCCTGTGTGGTTATTTTCCCCATTTCCCCCAACTCCCTTGCGTATTCCACAAGGTCGTCGCCTGCGTTGATGACTTCCTGGCGGAATTCCTCCTCAGCGTCTTCGAAAATCTCTTCCGTGTTTACTCCTGATGCTTCTCCTTCGGTCTCCTTTTCGACTACACTTTTGGCTATTTCCCTGTGTTCGGTGAGTGCTTTTTCGTATAGATTAAGGAATTTTCTTGATGATGCGGTAGCCTTCTTATTTTCAGACATTTTGTAGGTACCACCAGTATCAATGTATGCAACATCAGCCCCGTTAAATGTTAACTTGGTTTTAGTGATGTCTAAACTGGAGATAAATTCCTTAGAGTTGCGTCCGTCGGTCGGATCTATTCGGTACTCAGTTTGGAAAAGCCTCCTGACGTATTCTATCTTTATGTCATCAAATTTTCCATATGTGCTAAGTTCGTCTAACTGCCTCTTCCATTTTCTGTAGGAATCGTCCTTATTCTCCTCACGGAAACTGGAGGTTTTTACATCGTCTAGTCTTTGATCGTCGTCTAGTCCTGAAAGAAAGTCATCCTCGTTAATAGGTATATCATCAATAACTGTCTCGTCCTCACCCCCTTCGGCTCCTTCCGGTCGGTCGAATTCATTCATTTCCATTGTTTCCATTTTTATTTAAGTCTAAAGATAATTCTTGTTCATAATACCTCCCCAAAATATCCTCCCCATCCTCCGGATCCTTAAGGCTGTACATGTTGGGATCTCCCCAGAACACCGATGTAACGACGTATACTTCGTTGTCAAAATTGGTTCGTATCCCTTTTCAAAGGTCTTTTGCTTTATTTCCACCCTGACATGATCCCCAACCTTAAATTTAGGATCCGGAAAACTGCTTAGTGGATATCCGTAGATTCTTGTCCAAACTTCCTCATTCACATCCGCTGGTTTCATTCCTATTGTTCTGTGTGTGGAATTATTATAGGATCTAACGAGAGCAGGTAAGATGTCCACCCAAACTTTCGTCCTGTTTTCCGTAAAGTATTTCCAAATCCTTGTTTTCAGAGTCCTATTGAATCTTTCGACAAGTGCAGCTTTCCGGAAGGTCCTTGTGGAAAAGTAGTGAACATCATGATCCTTTAGCAACGTCTTTACTCCTACATTGTAGAATTCCATTCCATCGTCGAACTGAGCTGTTTTAGGATATCTACCAAACTTTTCCTTAAATTGTGCGACCACATTTTCAACAGCCTTCGTCATGCTTTCGGTATTTTTCCTCCATACGGGAACGGCAAAGGCATATCGACTAAGAACCTCTATGACAGTTAGAATCCAACGGTTTCCCTTATTCTTATGACTGAACTTACTCATATCCACAAGGTCCATTTCAATTTGCTGTGCAAGTCCATCCACATAGGTTCTTTGGGTTCTGTAATGTTTTCGGGACGGTTTATGAATAATGTAGGTATTTTGTGTCTGTAACCATTCTTTAACATTTTTCTGGCTAACTCCCTTTATACCCTCCTCCTTTGCACTTTGGTATAATTTTTCCATCGACATGTACCCACCATATTAAAATATATTTCCCGGAGAGCTACATCCAATGCCGGACTCATTTTATTACCTGTAAATAAAACATGAAGAAGATAACAGTCTATGTTGAAAGCGGAGGGATTACCCTGGATTTACAGGATCCACTGATCCTTACCCACGGATCCGAACTTTATGTGAAGACTGCCGCTGTGTTTTGGAATTATTGGAACATTCGTAAGGGGTTCAATGACTACATTTCCGTGGATGGGAAGAAGATTATGATAGATGAAGGGTATTGGACCTTTAAACAGCCTAAGAAAGAGTTGGAGGAAAACGGATTAACACTCGAGGAATATCCCGATGGGAGAATAAGAATTAACTTTGCTAAGGGAACAAATTCCGCAGGACTCCGAAATCTCACAAGTATTTTGGGATACCGGTCCTCCGATGGTCCTACATACACCCCACACATCAGCGATCGTCCAGTAGATATTCATGAGGGCTTGCGATACCTCACAGTCAGCTGTAACCTTGTGAATCGTGAGCATAACATTGGACCGTACGGAAATCGGAGTACTGTCATGACTTCCCTTGCCATCGATGGGACCAGACCTCTCTCTGGGACTACAACGAAATACAACAACATTGAAAGCCAAGTACGAGTGGATGCTGGTAAATACAATGAAATTCGGTTTGAAATTGGGTCTAATACCGGAGCTGTTCCTCGAGATGTCCTTCTAGAACTTTATATCAAATAAAACGATGAGTGAGGAAATCTTTCGAAACTACTACGGAAAGAATTACGAGAAGGTTAAGGCGGCAGCACCCGTCGAAATCCGGAAAATGAAAGCAAACTTCATAAAGAAATATCCCAATGCAACCCTATCCAAATTCGACTTTGAGGTCACCATTGCCAAGGATGGGACCGTAGAGTCCAGAGACATCTTCTATAAAGTGGATGATCTCACAAGCTATGACATCACATCCGACACATTCCGCACAAATCCGGAGTGGACCAAGTACCTGTACTGGGTAGGGGGTGGCGAAGTGTTAAACAGGATGCAATCTTCCGTCCGAATAAGGATTTCAGGATGGATGTGCATACTTTTAAGGTCTATGTTACGAAGACTGAGAATTTCCTGACAAAATTGGAGCCTATTAAACCATCATACGATACAGTAACCTTTATCAACACTATACCTTTTGATTACCATTCGAACTCTTATTTCTGCTCCCTAGCAGCATGCTATGTTGCTATGTTTAAATCCGGAATTTCCGAGGATCACCTTACAAACAATTTTCCCAACTCACACTCTAACATAGTAACCTCCATTGTTCGCTTCCATCTTCATTTTCACCTATCAAGATTCATGCGTAACCCCAATCTATTGGACCAGTACCTTACAAGTGATGATAAATGGACTATTCGAAAGTATACACCTGTACGTGAAACATGGGTTAGGAGGACCGCCTCTTCCCACGCAAACATTGGAACATGGTACTACGGTTTAACTGTGAGTGAACAGAAGAAAATACGACGTCAGAAGTACCATTTAACCAAATATGGAGGTTCATTTATCGAATATGAATACCTGACTGGTAGATCACCCTTCGACGTTGAAAATGACTACAAAACCCTTATTCCCAAAACATCCCCGGACTTACCAAAGTTGGACAGAAATTATTCCAGGAATCCATCGAGGCGTTCGCGTGTTCTGTATTATGGGCACAAGCCAAAACCTGGTGGAGAATCACAGGTCAGGGTGCAAAAAGTCTGCAGACACAGGAGGTTTTCCGTAAGGTGGTAAAAGATACAATTGTACAAGACGATGTGACAGTTACCATCTCCAACATGAGGACGGCTATTGCTAATACCCACGTCGTCCTAAATTTTGCAATCATGCCGGGTTTAATCCTAATTCCTTCAGACCTGAGGATTTTAACAAAACCTATTCCAGGATTCAGCAATGTTTTAACGGTAGCTAAAAACGGGATGACGTTCGGAAAAAATGAGAAGGTGAATTATACAAGTAATCCTGTTCCCACCCCCACGAATAATGTAGATGAAAGCCATGAAATTACACCGGTTCCTGCTGTGGAGAACATTAACCCCCCGGAATTAAGGCAGAAGTCTGATACTCAGAATATTGCTCTTGGGACAGCGGCAGTAGCATCCTTTGGACTTGCATACCTTACATTTCGACGTTAAATAAAATGAGCATCTTATTCGGATACGATTATTTTGATACAACAGCAGAAGACCTAAATACCTTAAAACGGAAGTTGATAACAGTTGAGAAGGCACAGCAAAGGAACACGGCAGAGGTTGCCAAACATACGAACGATATCATAAAGTTAAACAGTTTGGGAGAAAACACGGTTCAGTACGACTTTTCCCAAATACCTGGGTATCCGCCCGGATTTCTACAAACACCCACCATTACAGACACCGATAAAAAGAATACAAAATTTATGGTATTTAGTGTTAGTGGTAATCCCCTCTGTACGGATTCTACAAAACGAATAGGGGGACGATTGTCATATTTACAGTTGACCAGAGGAGTAAAATTATCCGGACATCCTATTCATTCATAGTTACCAGCACAAACATCCAGATCCATGGTGTCGAATTTAAGGACATAGATTCCGCCGGAAACGTAACCAACAGAACAAAAGCTACAACTGTAAATTGCTTCCTCTTGACAACATAAGATTTTTTAAATCTTTTTGTAAGATTTAAAATTTTCGTGTTAATCCATAAGCACCGCCAACACCCAGTATACCAACCGTCAACACTGCGTATTTTTTCATTTCATCCGATGGTTGATAGTAATCCTCCAATTTAGGTCTGCGTTGGGATGCCGTACTATCCATGAGCCTCGTATAATCCCTCAGGTCAGTAGTATAGATATGCGGGTTCTAGCGCATTTTTGATCCGCTTTTTAAACCGGTTCAAACCGGTTCGGTAAATGTCGATTAATTAATGACGTCATTAATTAATTCAGGTTCGCTCCGTCCCTCTAACGCATTTTTTTCCAAGATTCAATTATGACGTCATCAATCACGTGATCATTTTCCAAAAATTCAATGATGACGTCATCACGACTTTTGAAACGATTTTTTTTTTAATCCTTTCGAGAGAGCCGATAATGTCCTATTGCCAGTGTGTTTATTTTGTTGGATAGTACAACACGCTTATCATCGTTTGCCGAAAGTGCCGTTTTGAAGACGAAGTGTCTTATAGGGAATCTCGTGTATAATAAACAATGGGAAGAGAGAATATGTTCGAACATTACACTAAGGAGAGGGTGTACAGCCAGAAGCCGTACAACCGGAAGCCGAAGGCGGAACCGTATCAGAAACGTTGTTCGGCTTGTATGATTTGGGCTAGTCGGAAGGGTATTACCAAGGACTTTTAGTGTAAGCATATGAAACACAACCTCAAGTATTTTAGATAATTTTTTTTTAATGGATTTGAATCGAAAAAAAAAATGTATATAATAAAGAAAGGATGTCCATTACCAAAGTTTCAGACTTTACCAAAGACTCGTTTGCTTTCGAAGATGCCGTCGGAAACAGATACGGGTCCAAGAAGATTAAATTAACGGCACGGGATCAGGGTCCGCTTCTGTTGGAACTCACGGATTGTTTGTCTTATGGAGTGAACAGAAACAACAAGTTCGGCAAGGAAAATTACTCCATTTCCCTATCCCCGAGGGACAAGGAGGAGTTTGTGTCGGTCATGAAACTGGTGGAAAAGGAATCTGCCAACCACATTGGTAAGTCGGGTGAAAACATTATGAAATGTCTTTATCGGAAAGGCAGCACTCCGACCCTATACGCAAAGATTGACAACGAAACAGAGATCTATCCTCCGAAAGGGGACGAACCCGATGATCCTAAAAAGTGTCAGGACAAGAGATTCCATCTCGATGCAATCATCAGGATTGAAAGCATCTATGTGTCCAACAGTACGATTTCCATTCAGGTAAAGCTACACGAGGCAAACATATTGGAAGAAAAGCCTAAGGTACCGAGGAAGAGACTTTTACAACGGCGGGATTAGGAATGCTAGCAGGACCAATTTTAATGTTTTGTAAGAACATTAAAATTTAAGGAGCATCGGCATTTTCCCCTTTTTCCGGACAGCTTACCTTCGAGCTGATCACGTGTTTTCCGACAGTGATTCCACCACTTAGTATTCCGATGAGTGGGATGTATGGTGTTACGTAACTGACAAGGTTTTTTATATCTTTTCTAAGCAGATCATTTCCCTCCAGTTCTTTTTTCATTCCTTCGGGATCCTTAACAGCATCCAGCGCTTCCATGAGTTCAGAAAACTTGGTAATGATGACGTCAGCTAGTTGGTTGTTTGTATTTTCCAGCTGTTTCCTTTCATAGTCCTTGTATATATTCTCCAGCGTCTTTTCGGATGCCTTCTTGATATATTTTGAGGTGTACTTGATTTCACCCGCATCGGCCAGCTTTAGTAGATTTTCCCTTAGATCGCTTGCAGTAGATGTTTCGGTCGTCTCAGGTTCTACAGATTCGAATATGGTTTCCATTCCTTTATTTAATATGCGGAATAATTGTTTTGTGGGTATAGGGTCGGCGTAATAGTATTTCCAGTCTGGCGTAGTCGTTGTTTTTTAGCGTATTAATGATTTCCTTCCTTTCTTTTTTCTCCGTATTTGCAAGGTAGTCATCCATTATGGTGTTTGTATCTTTTGCGCTCGGATTGTAAAAGGTTATGAGTTTAGATATATTTTCCCTATAGGGTTTTGTAATAGATGTAAGCTGTTGGGTAATGACAACGGTTGATATTCCCTTATGTCTAGCACTGAACCCAAGTTCCACCAGTTCGCCGGTTCTATTTTTGACGGATTGACTGCTTGCACAGTCGTCAAGGATGATGAGACTGTTTGTTTCTTCTGCAAACCATGAGACGTATTCTAAGCACCGGTTTACGTCATCCTGTTTGCAGGGCATGACTATAAAGTCCTTATCTTTATTATATTTCCAGTCCTGATACGTTTTGTTCCATTTGTATGTGGGACATATTAGAAATATATACTCGAAGTGGTTTTTGTAGTCGTTCTCCAGCATTTCCAGTAGGTGATAGGTTTTTCCACATCAAGTCATTCCAAGAATGATCATGTTGAACGGTGTTTTTAGTGGTTCCATCTTTTATTTAATAGCTGATGCCTTGAAGGGTCTTTCCACTGATGTTTATGAGTCCGTCGGATAGCACAAAGATGTTACAGAGGAAGTCTTCGGTAATAGTGTCCGTTTCGATCTCTAGAAGAATTCCGGGATTGTCGCCAAGGATCCTTTTTCCACTTCCAACAGTGCGACTGTCATCAACAGCCCTCATATCAATTACCAGTGCGAATTTATCTTTGTAGAATTTCCTAACGTTTATGTCGTCATTACAAGCGTTGTTGGCCATTCCGAACAGTCTTTTTGCTTCATCGTAGAAATTCTCGTATGTTAGTCCCTGGCTGTATACAGCATTTGGTTTTCCATCCATTGTGACCTTTACCTTTTCGATAGCCGGGAAGACGTATTCTTCGCTGTCGGTTACCGTCCTCTTTCTGAAAAGTAGGACCACAGCCCTCATGCTTTCCCTTGGAACGTCTATGGTTTCGTTAAACCTTGCAGCACCACTTGACTTTGCCCACACTGTTGTTTTCAACAGTGTTATGTGTTCATAGGATAGGGATCTACCTGTCTCGTATCCTTCGTTTACTCGTTTAGCCAGTTCTTCGTTCTCGATGGTTTCGTATTCCAAATGTATGTTCTTCAGTGTATAACCTTCCACCTTCTCGCTTGCCTGTGCAACCATAATCTTGTCAGCTTTTGGAAGGGTTATCGTGTACTCGAATCCGCTCTTCATGTTGTACGGTGCGTAGGGACCGTGATCATTAAGAATTTTTCCGAGTTTCATCTTCTGCTCTTTGTATACCTTCGCCATCACCAGGTCATAACCGCCGTCCTCCTTTGCGGTCTGATCGGCACTGTCGTCCTTCGATAACATCTTTCTTGTGTTTTCGTTCATAATTCCGTATTCTACCATGTTTGCTCTTTTTGAATCCATCTTCCAGAGGTCTTTGTAGACTTCGATGAGACTTTCACCGTTATTGTCGTATACTATTTCACCTCCTACCCTTATCATGAGTCGCTCGCGTAGGAGTTTACCGAGGTTATTCATGAACCAGGATTTGGTGTTTTCGTTCTTGAACTCGTATGATAAACGAAATGAGTCCGGGACGATGCAGGTGTTCGGTTCCAGTTTTGGAACTACAATCCGGATGTCATTTCCAGGGTTGGATTCGTTTGGGTTGAATGTAACATAGTTACATACCCTGTTTCCGCGTTACGTCTTTCTTCGGCCTTCCTTGCTTTTGCTTCTCTAGATATTGCAGCCAGTCTTTTACCTGATTCTACCCTTCTCGGATCCTTCGGCCTTTGGGTCTTTTCTGCTTTCGCTATTGTTGGTTCATTCATACTTTATTTAATATACTTACTTTTTCTGGAATTTCTAGTCAGGTCTAGTCAGATCTAGTTAAATTCTAGTCAGGGCTAGTTGCAGCATAACCTTAACTAGATTTCAGCATGACCTTAACTAGGTTTAGCATCTAGTTAAATTCCAGTTAAATCCAGTCAAGTTTTAGTCAAATTCTAGTCAGAGCTAGTTGCAGCATAACCTTAACTAGATTTCAGCATAACCTTGACTAGGTTTAGCATCTGGTTAAAGTCTAGTTAAATTCTAGTCAGGGCTGGTTGCAACATAACCTTAAATAGTTTAAGAAAATCAACTTAGGATAATTTCAGAACCAACTTAAAGAAATAATTTTCCATATAATAAAAGGTATGGACTTTCCTATGACAGTATCGGAAGAGATCCGTCAGTTGGAGTCGCCTCCCTCAAATTGGTTGACTCTCTTCAGACAGGCGAAAAAGGAGTATCTAGATCTTTTTGCTTTAGAGGAACCTGTGAAGTTTCCGAACAAGCATTTCTGCTCTGAGGGACACAGACATCATCTCGTCTCCACGGACGGGTTTCGAATGTGTTGGTCATGTGGATTAGTTGTTGGTAGGATCCCCAGTCTCGATTACGACTACGGTTGTAGGGACAGTGTGATGACGAGGAACCGGGAAACGAACACCGATGGTAGGTTCGAATCGTTCTGTACCAGGAGGAAAATAACATATTCCGATTTATCGACACGTGAAAGACGTTTGATAGCGGAAGACATTCGTAAAGTTTACGAGACAGAAAAATCCGAAAGAAAGAGACTTTCTAATATCAATATTCTAACTTACCAGATATGTAAAAGGCATAACATAAAGTTAAACGAGAAGCTTCTTAATATTCCGGTAAGCAAAGCTTCACACGACCGGTGTAAAAAAGTATTCCAAACACTGGGCTGGGAATTGACCAGTCATCGTCCCTGTAGGCAGTGATGTATACCTGATGCCCAACGGTATATAGTTCTGTGACGTGGGGGACTGGTGAGAAAAAAAAGACGTCGTGTAAAATTTTAATGCTTACTTAGCATTAAAATTGGAATAGTAATTTAAGAGTGATGATGATGAGAAGAATTTCAACCGTTATTGGGATGAGTAGGCAGCACACCAGACTCATCCATATTAGTTTCCGTAATACTCGGGTTCCGATCATTTGTTTTATCATACTTTTTTACCGTTGTACTAACGTATCCAATCTGGGTGTGAGCATTGATAGTGAGATCACCACGTTCTATACCAATTCCGAAACTGAACATTCTCCTTTTCCGATGGTTTTTGTCGTATTTCACTTCGTTTGTGGTCTCGGGTTTTGCATGTAAACATCCCATTTTATTTATTCTTCTTTTTACTTTTCGCTGACTTTGGTTTTTCTTCCTTCACAGTTTTTGTTGACGGTCCCGCTTTACCTTCCTTACACGACGTAACGTACTTGATGTTGGTTGTCCTGGATTTAACGTAACCGAGATTCAGTCCGTCTTTACTGAGTTTTATATCGACGTTAACGGTTTTGCCCCTTTTTAAATTTTCCTTAACTTTGATTCTATCGCTACTCATTTCTTTTATTAATACGAAAAGAAAATCCATCTTGAAGTGATAACCCCACCAATGAACATAGTGCCGAGAAGGTAAATCAGATTGTTTGATGCTTTCGGTAGTATGCTTACCGTGTTAGGATGTGGTATGGGGTTCTGATCTTTGCGTGGGATCAGGCTTTGGGTCTTTACATCCGGACTTTTCTTTATCTCCGGACTTTTCTTTATCTCCTTAGGCTTTGAGTATTAACGTTCGTATTACTACCAAACCTCATGTCCTTTGTTGCTAGTGTCAGTGTATTGTTGTATCCTGCTATTTTTTCCTTGAGTATAATCATATTGGATGGTATTAATATTAATCCGGGTGATATTGCCATGTTAAGTACAACGTTAGTATCCTTTATTGCTTTCCTCATATTGGAGATGGATACCGATACATCGTCTTGCGCAACGGTGTCTTTGAAAAGTTTGTGAAATACGTCCTGAGTCTGCAGGGACTTCGCTCCCTTACCAACGATAGACCAGCGTGTTTGTGCTTGCGCACCCAATACGCAATAGACATAACTTTCGACAGATTGTTGAAGTAACTTTAATCCTAAAGGCGTCAACCCGTCTGATTTCTTGGCAATGAACCAGGTGTAATCCGTATCGCTGTTGATAGTGACCCTGTCTACTTCCTGATAGCTAATTCCCATTACACCACCGGTATGGTAGTATGAATATCTATAGTTTCTAACCCTACTCTTATCCGGAAGTCTGCTGTGCCAGAGACCTATTTCCATTTGTCCTCGGTGGAATTTGTTAACCCATGTTTTCCGTGTGGGCATGCTTCTCTGCAGGGATTTTAGCATATCCCTTGTTACATATTTTGTCATTTTGCTCGGATTTCTGAGGAACCTACGCATGTGGTAGTATAGGTGATACCTAGCAATACTCGTGATTATCTTTGAGGTTCCCTTGCTTTCCAGCAGATGTTCTGTACTTATTCCACACTTATACGTGATAATGTAAGCAGCCAGTATCGATGCAAAATAGGGGTCTTTTATATAATTGAACTTTACCCTGGTAATATCCTTTGCGGTACCAGTCCACTTTGTGTCGAGATCGGCAAAGTTTGTTACAAAACTGTTGTGAGAGGTGTTGGTGCAGTCGCAAACGTAAATTTCAAACCTATTTATTTTGTATGGAAGCGGATCCCTGTTATGACTAAAGGTTTGAACGGTTCCATAATTACCCCATATTCTCTCCCATTGGTAAAGATACCACGTCCACTTTTTATTTCCCCTGAATGTGCTGGATTTGATGTCGTAACTTTCCAGGTCCGTAACCTTAAAGAATATGTCCTTGGATTCCAAAGTTCCATCCTTTGCAAATGTAACCTGAAATTCAAATTTAGACATTTCCGCACCCGGATATTTTTTCCTAAAATCCTCTTTCATCTTCCGTCTTTCAATTGGTGCTGCCGCCCTTACTTTTTCATAGTTCTGTCCATAATATTCGCGGAATATGTTTCCACTGGTACTCATTTTATTTAATCCATGTAATAAAAATGAAGAAGTTAACAGTGTTTATTGAGGATGGAACTACCGAGTTTTTCCCAGACAAGTGTATTACGACGAACGCAGAGTCGGAATTAATCCTAAAGAATGCAACCATCTACTGGGCTTATAAAAACGTACGTTTGAATGTTAACGATAATATTACATATGGACAAAAGAAAATTACCTTCGAAGATGGCTACTGGACCTTTGATGCAATAAAGAAAAAACTAAAGATAGATGGAATAAAAATAGAACGTAACACACACAACAATACCTGCAGGATATATCCAGCAACCGGGACAGACCTACATTTAAATGAATTTGCTCCACTAATAGGATTCCCAGAAACAGAAGTCCTAACCCCCGGAGTGTGGGAAAGGTCTCCCTATCCTATAGAAATCAATCACGGTCTTAAATACGTTACTATCGACTGTGATGTTGTTAATACATCCCTAAATTTCAACGTAAACGGTAAAGGAAGTTTTACAGTGAGCACGTTACCCGTGCCGTCTGACCAGCACCTGAACGGAACAACAACATTCTTCAGGGATATTGGAAGTAGGGTTTATGTTAATAATGGTTCCCATAACAGATTTTCCTTCAGTATTAGTACGAATATTGGTGATAAGGTCGATATGTCTGCACTCCTTGAATTTTATATCACATGAATAAAAATGGAAGATAAACACTTTGTTACCGAG